GTTCAATAGCTCACGTCTGTAATATCAGCAACTCAGGAGGCTGAAGTAGGATTGCTTGAGGCCAGGCGTTTGAGACCAGCCTAGGCAACATAGCCAGATACCATCTCTAAAAATTTTTAGAAAAAGAAAAATTAGCTGGGCGTGGTGGCGTGTGCCTGTAGTCCTAGCTACTCGGGAGGCTGAGGCAGGGGTATTGCTTGAGCCCAGGAGTCTGAGGCTGCAGTGAGCTATAATTACACCACTGCACTCTAGTCTGGGCAACAGAGTGAGACCTTGTGTCTTAAAAAAAAAAAAAACACAAGATTTTTGATGGTCATTTTATTCTCATTTTGGAGGAAATATGTAAGTTATTTCATAGGTTTTGATGTTTTGTTCTTATTCAGTTTAGCATTTGATCACTTACAGCAGACCTTGGCTATTGACAACAAATAAGTCCTTAAATCTTTGCATATTCTCTCATTTGCAGATTTCATATAATGTAAGGAAACTTTGGCAGTGACTGGAGCATTCTCTAAACAGTCCCCTGAATTGTCTTGTTGCTCTTCAGGGCATTGTTGGTTTCGAGTATTGCTCTGAGCCTCCACCAAATTGGATTTGCCAATTCGATTTATCAAAAGAGTGTGTTTATTTTCTAGTGAAGAACCATCACTTTTTAAAAACTCTTAAATATATGGTCTCCTCTCTCATAAGCACTAGCAGTTGGCTTAGGGGTGGAAAACAATTAAGTGAAACTGTAAGGACCTACATATCAGCATTGGAAAATGTTCATATTTCTGTGTTAGTAAAAATCACAAATGCACATGTAGACGTTTAGGGTCACTCACTAAAACTCTAAACTATACTCATTAAATCTGAAAATGCAGCAGATTTATCATACTGTCTGATGTTTTGTGTATATCTCGTCAATTAAATTATAATATTGGGTAAAGGAAGTGGGTTTTGAGTTTAAGAACTTAAAAAGATTTTATTAACTTTATAATATGATGGAAAATTTAAAGTGTATACAAAGTAAATAAAGTAGTATAATAAACCCCATAATTGAGTTTCAATATCAGCATTCTGCCATCCTTATATCATCTATATCTTCGCCCATGACCACACTTAGTCCAAATCATGCCATTTTACTTTCCCACCTGCAGTGGGATGCCATTTTTGGCATTGTCAGTCTTTAATTTTAGACAGTCTATAGAATATATAGGTATGTCATTGTAGCTTTAGTTTGCATTTCCTTGATGACAGATGATGTTAATTAACTACTTTTTTTATGTGTTTATTGCCTACTCATATGCTTGTTGTG